GTTATGTTTTGATGGTGTCCGGGTCATGTGACGGTGTCCCGGTCATGCTGTGATAATATCCCGGTCATGTTGTGATGGTGTCTCCGTCATGTCATGCTGGTGTCCCGGTCCCCTTGTGATGGTGTCCGGTTATGTTGTGATGGTGTCCCAATCATGCTGTGACGGTGTCTCGTTCATGTTTTGATGGTGCCCTGGTCATGTTGTGATAGTGTCTCGGTCATGTTGTGATGGTGTCCCCGTCATGTCATGCTGGTGTCCCGGTCACCTTGTGATGGTGTCCCGGTTATGTTGTGATGGTGTCCCAATCATGTTGTGACGGTGTCTCGGTCATGTTTTGATGGTGCCCTGGTCATTTTGTGGTGGTGTCCCGGTTATATGATGAGGGTGCAAGGAAGAGATGGTAGATGTGTTGAAAATAGCAGTTGTTTCCAGATTTTCTTTTTGTCCCGGTTTGTATCTTGCTATTAGGGTCTCCAGCTGGGCTAACTTTCTAAATCAGAAAATAGAATATATTTATGATTTTAAAATTCAATATATAAATTCAATCAAGAAAATAACTAAAAATATCCGGATCATAATACCAACGGTCCAAACGATTATATCTTTCGTTTTTATTCAATTTAAATTAATTAAAAATATATATATTTCAACAAACATCGAATGATTATCTCCATAAATGCCCTATTAAATATCTTATAAACAATATATATTCAAAAAAATCGAAATATATATCCAAATTATATTCCTAAAATATATTTAATTAAAATCATTAGATTTACAAAATATAAAATTAATATATTTCTTATAATAAATCTCCAATATATATATTTAAATTTAATATAAATTATCCCCTATAATATTTAAAATATTAAAATAATATATATTTTAGATATAAATAATTTTAGATAAAATATATATCAATATATATAATACAAATAATATTTATATTTACCTATTATTTATCAACAAAATATAATCAATTTGTATATATTATTCAAAAATCTAAATAATTTATATATTATATTATTTAATAAAATCTTTAAAAACAATAATTCAAAATATATATTAAATTAATCTATATAATATTTATTCTATATTTCATATATAAATTTAAATATATTTTTTTTTGTAATATATAAATATTTATAATGTTTATTATAATTAATATAATATATATTTTTTATATAATTATAATTCAATATTGTAATGTAAAAAAAATTATTCCAATATTTTTATTTATTTTAAATAACAAATTATATACATACATAAATCATTAAAATATATATTCATATAATAAATCAATAAAAATATTTCATATTATTATATAAATATATTCTAATCTAAAAATAATTATTTAAATACTTATATAAATATAAAAATAAAAAATATAAATAACAATATATTCAAAATATTCTTAAAAACATATATTTAATCGAATATTAAATCCAAAAATATATCGAAATATATAAGATTTTTCTTTCTTTTTTTTTAAATATATTTCCCGAAATATATAATATAAAAAACATAATTTAAACAAAATAGATTAATAAACAATAAGAAATTAATATTATTGTATTCTTTCACGCACATCTTTAAAAAAAATTACGACCTCAAAAAAAAAGAAAAAAAACCACCAATTCAAATACAAAGATCTATACCAATTCTTCAATTTGCAATTCTAAATCGTTCCCAACGATTAATTAATATTACATCCCCAAAATTCTTCTCTTCATCGATCCTCCAAATATAAGATTTTAAAACCATTCATCCACAACCTCTTGGGGTTCCCTAGAGACAGGCATCATCTCTTGGTCTTCCCCCCGTGGTCTCCCAAAAATGGTAATTGCAAGTCTAGAAGGTCCATACGCTCGGATACGCTTCAACTTGCTCAATTTGAACCATTCCTCTAGGGGATCCGTGTCCATACACTCCCCAGTCTGTCTGCGTACATAGACTATCTTCCTAAGGGGTATAGACCCCCCGTGTCGCTTTCGTTCGGAGGAATGCGATATCGGTCGGTTCCACGATATGAAATGACCAATCGGACATCCATCTCCCCAAAAACCAAACCACTAACAAACATTCCCACTAATTAAAAAAGAAAAACTATTCACTTATAAGAAAAAACGACAAACTTTACTAAATCATTTCCCCTACTTAATAAATTCGTAATCACCAAAAATATCTAACCCACGTAAATTCGAATTCCTCCATTATCGATTAAAATAACAAACCAACAAATTAATTCAACAATATAAAATATATATATATATTAAATAAATATATATACAATATATATATTATTTAAATTAAAGTATAAATAATTGTTTAAATTCCAACATATAAATAAAATAAATCGATAAATAAAATATTCCATATCAATCAACCATAATTTTACATAAAGATATATTTATAAAACAACAAAATAATGATTTATATATTTAATATATATTTATTTTTCAAATCAATATAAATTCCTTATATATTCCGATCAATTCCTTTCTTCCAATTTTTTTTTGCGTGCACCGAAAGCAATTTCAAATGAAATATGCAAATTCTAAATATTCAAGAATTTTTTATGTGTTTGAGATTTGGATAATATATTATTTGTATAAAAATAATTCATATGTTAAAAAAATAGATATAATTCCTTATATATCTTTTATTATCCAATATTTTTATGTTTGTTTGTAGGCCTGGATATAGAAAAAATGCAATTATTTTAGGTACAACAAGATATGGCACCCACATCGACTCGCCTATGCACCGCCCGGTTCCTCAATTCGAGCGAAGTCATGCCAAATTTCAAGGATTGTGTGGCTGTTCAAATGTTTCTTGTCTTCGCATCTTGTCGATTTTTCCGAATCCGCAAAGCAACTTTTCTTGTTTGCTGAGGCACCGCTTCTTACGGCCGCCGCAGGAATGGTCACATTTAATGTGCCGTCATCAGCAAGGTGGGTGTGGCTGTGGCATGCTGTGGCCACATGTTCCGGCCAATCATTTTTAGATTTGTTGCCAAGCGGTAGAAAGATTCATCAGTAAGCAGATTGCTATGGACTATCGAAATGAACCTGTGGAATACCCGCCCCACCTGTTTTTCTCAGGACCAGTGAGAAAGTGAGCCCCTCAGAAAGTGCAGCCGCCTCAAGCCAAGGAAGAGGGAGGCGAGACGCGAGAGCCCCAGATCTCCACAAGGTCGTTGTTCATTTGCTGCAGCATCAAGAGCTCTTCTACGGACGATCCCCATAACCTCCTGCTTTGCACAATGAGCTTCTCCTCCAAGGTGAAAGTACTGACACGCAATCTGCAAAGTTGGCTTCCCATGTTCACTGTGAAGGCCGAGGAGTTCTCATAGTTCTTGGCATCAACTGCATTGGAGACGCTTTCCACTGCATACCCTGCTGATGTGAAAGCCTTCGACACCTGCGAGGTGAACTCAGCAATCTCCTGTTCCAAGGTGGATCCATTCTGGCGTCGACTCCAAGCAAAGTGTCTCGAGTTCATCTTCCCAACGTCATGCACAATGGGCCGGCCACCGAACTCCCAGGCCTTTGCCATGACTCGATACTGTTCAAGGGTCATTTCTTGACAATCCTTGCTCATGTAACGATTCATCAAATCTGCCACACTCTCGGCAGTGATGACTCCGTTCCGATTGCTCAAGCTCGCAGTGAGCTCTGTGGCTGAAAGTTTGCCAGAACCACTCTGATTGGCCGCATGGAAAGCGGCGTCGGCCGACTCAAAGCCTCGATTGTAGAGGGCCAAAGCCTCCACCACCCCGGTGCACTTCAACGAGAGGTTTGGTCTTCGTGCTCGAATCTCACGGACATACTCCAAAGGCCCAGACAAAGGGCCTTTGAGCCAACGGAGTTTGGGGTACAACTCGAGGATGTCCTCGTCACCTGCCATAGCAGCTTGAAGCTGCTGGAAGGTCGGACGCTTCTCCGGGGTCAAGGCCCACAAACAGTTGATCAGGTCCTTGAGACCTTCGTCTCCCGCAAATGCCTGAAATTCCTTGTGGCTCCACCATTTGGCCGGAGCACCCTCATCCGTGATGACCTTCAAACCGCCAAAGTAGGAATGAAAGGGTGGAATGGGCTGCCGAAGAAGAAAGACAAGGATGCCCACAGTGAAAACGTCCGCCTTCTCACTGTCATACATCTTTTTCCCATACTCAGGAGCATGGTAAAGATCAGTCCCAACAGCAGCCGTCTGCTCGCGCATGAATTTCGAACCCTGTGATTTCAATTCGGCGATGCGCACAGGACTGCCAACCTCTTCACCTTCATCATCTTCATGAAGCCACTGCACCAAGTTGGCACAACCCAGGTCGATGATGACCACCTGAGCAAGCAAGCACACACGCACACACACACACATAAGCCTCATGATCACCAGTGAATGCAAAAAAATGAAAAAGGGCTCACCTGCCCATTTTCGTCGATCAAGAGGTTGTCGGGCTTGAGGTCCCTGTGGGTGACCCCATACTTGCAAAGCTCCGCCATTCCATTTATGATGCCATGCACCAACCTACGCATGGTCCCATCAGTTAAGACCGCCCCCTCTGCAGTGATGAGATCAAAGAGCTCTCCATTGGGGATGGCCTCCATGACCACAATGTGCCTGGCTGGATTCCAGGATTCGCATCCTCGACCAATGTGAGTGGCCAAGCCCACGTAGGTGATCACATTGGGATGCTGAAAGACTTGAAATGGTGCCTGCTTGAGAAACTTCAACTCACGATCATTGTCTCTGGACAAGAATTTCATCACATAGCGATGCCCTGTGGGCTCATGAGTGGCCAAGTAGCTTTGTCCAAAGGCACCTGCACCCAAAAAGTCGTCCAGGGTCCATCGTTCACCGAAGACCGTAAAGGCCGTGGGTCCAAACCAGGGGTCATGGCCGCCTTTGCCTTCAAACTTTTTCGCGCTGCGAGAGATCACGCCCAAATCAGCTGCCTTGACTATCGGAATGCCTGTGGAGCCTTCTTGTCCTAGCTTTTTCCTCCAGAATGATGTAAGAATGCTGGCTGGGCTCACCGCACCTTCTGCAACCTTGGAATGGTGTGAGGCAACAAAAGGATGAGGCTCAGTCTGAGAACACAAGAGTTTCTACTGGAAATTGTACATGTACGAAGCATGTGCTGCCAATGAGCTTTCCTGCCTCTTTCGGATGGTATGACCAGCTGAACATGCTTCATATCCCAAGGAAATGCGGCCAAGGCACCCGTTCCTTCGATGAATTGTCAGACCCTAAAGCCTCAGCGTCAGGCAGCGTCAGGTCTGTCCAGGTCTCAGGGGCCTTGTGAATCTTTTTAGATCAAACATTCCTGCAGTGCCTGCAGCAGCCAAGGAGCATCCAAAAGCTTGCTGCGACTGTCTTCACTGAGGTGCTCGAGCAATTGTTGCAAGTCATCTGGGGAGCAGGATTTTACCTAAGGGGGGCCAGCTCATATGGAGAAAAGGACACTAACAACTTCAAAACCCATGATTCGATTGAGCTCTGTCAAGCCGTGTTTGTGGACAGAGCTCAAACCATTGGCATAACAGGCATCCAAGTTCCCAACCCCAAAACTGGACATGTCGACATCGATGACATGCGACACATTGAAACGTGAGATGTCCTTTTCAGGTTTGGAAATTAAACGTGTCAAGGCCAGGGGGCTGCACCAGCAACTGCAACTGAGCCAGCACCTCCCATGGCGCGACTAATGCTGAGGGCTCTAGCCACACCTTGGAAGCCTAAATTGCAACAAATCCTGATGGAGAGCAGGGCAAGCTATGGCAAAGCTGCTGAATTCAACCACAGGGTCACACAGCTGTTGGGAGGAAATGCACTGGAACGAAAAAATGAATGAGAAAAAGAAGAGCTCTTGTGGCTTTTGAAGCAAGTGTCTCAGAACATTTGCCAAGCGTCCTCCCCTGTCTCAAAGGGACTCTTCTGCTTGACAAACTGGTAACCTCAAACCCCGTCGGATAGGGTGCTGCTTGTGGTCGCAACATTGTCACACTAAGGGGGCGGCCCATCACCATGACCATGGCAGCTGCCTAGCACAGCTCAATATATATAGACATGCACCTTTCCAACTTGGTCATCATGTAATACACCCTATTAATCCCGAGTACCCATTTAAAAACGGACCCCTATTAGAAAAAATCATGTCGGAAACCCCTAAATATGGTTTATATTTGTTTTTAAATTACCGCCCTTTCAAGCCGCTACTAAACTACCAACATTGCTGACTTTGGAGGAGTTTTTTTAATTAGGTTCCAAAAACAACCGTAACTGCCCACCTCTGTCCGCCCTGTCTATCCACCATGACACGCCGCGCTTACACCAGCAGGCTTTCCTTCCCCCAATGGCACGGACTCACGCAAACGCACTTGCCACCAAGGTCATGCAACACCGCATGGCACAGCGACATCACCTTTCGAAAGCTTTAGCTGTTAGTCTACTGAAGAATCACTATTCTAATGGAGGTTTTTGTAGGGGAAAAGGAAGACCCTTCGATCTGGAGCTTTTTTGCATTTTTGATACGAGTTTAATAAGGGATTTTATATAAAATTTTACTGATTTACTTTTTGGTTTTGAAGCTCTTCCCAGGTGACCTATTTTGGACCACCCGATTTCAGGCACCCCCTATTAGAAAAAATGCGGCCGAGGTTTCCTTATTAGGGGGGGGGGCGTGTTTTTAAATAGGTGGACCGGATTACTCCACTTGCTCTAAGATGTGCGTGTAGTGTAGACATGCACATGCAAACACACAGTATATTAAATACATTGAGTGCTAGTGCACATTATGTTTATGCTAATCCATAAACTGTCCGTGCTTAGGCGTGTGCACCCAAACAATACATACCCGATACTATACCTGAGAAGGGGAGGACGAAAGCCAGCAGCCGCCAGACGAGCGTCTCTTTTTCTGGTGGGCGGCCGCTCTATCTCTCTATCTATCTATCTATCTATCTCTCTCTCTATCTGTCTATCTATCTATCTATCTATCTATCTATCTATCTACACACTCTGCGCACGCTAAAGGTGATGCTCTGCTTCCAAGAAGTCCAGAAGGCACATGGTGCGAAACAAAGTGCTGTCACGAAATCTGCACATGGAGGTTCACAAAGTGCTGTGTTACGAAGTGCTGTGCCTGCCAGGAAATCTGCGCCTCGAGGTTCACACTAGTGCTGCGCCTGCCACGAAATCTGCACATGGAGGTTCACAAAGTGCTGTGCCTGCCACGAATTCTGCACTTCAAGAAACAAGTGAAAACTCCAACCACAATGGAGGGACGATTCCGACCATGATCCGACCATGATCCGAGCATGATCCGACCATTCATGACCCGAGCATGACCCGAGACCGTCTCGCACACGACGTTCCGCAAAGCTTGACTTGCCAGCTTCGGAGCCACCCCTTCTATTGAAAACCACAGCATTTCGTGCGTCCGCTATCTCTCGAAACGCATTTTGTATTGCTCCTGCCATGAAATCTGCACCTGGAGGTTCACAAAGTGCTGCGCCTGCCACGAACTCTGCACATGGAGGTTCACAAAGTGCTGCGCCTGCCACGAAATCTGCACATGGAGGTTCACAAAGTGCTGCGCCTGCCACAAAATCTGCACATGGAGGTTCACAAAGTGCTGTGCCTGCCACGAAATCTGCACATGGAGGTTCACAAAGTGCTGTGCCTGCCACGAAATCTGCACTTCAAGAAACAAGTGAAAACTCTAACCACAATGGAGGGACGATTCCGACCATGATCCGACCATGATCCGAGCATGATCCGACCATGACCCGAGCATGACCCGAGACCGTCTCGCACACGTCGTTCCGCAAAGCTTGACTTGCCAGCTTCGTGCAAAACAAGGATGCATGTGTTTCGCACTGTGCGCTTTGGGAGTGTTTGTGGTGCTTGTACGCCATTAAAGCGTCAAGCACCACGGGCTGCAGTGTCTGCAGCGCGAAATACAGCTGCTTGAACAGCAGTTAAATAGCAGCCTTGTTGCTGCCGGCTCTGCCGGAAAAACGTTCGGTGCGTGTGGACGCCGCGAGAAGCATCCACTCGACCGAGGACATGGTGCAAGTATAGTTTTTGCTAGGGGGGCGGGAATCCTCTGCGAGTCAACCTCGCAGGCACCCCCACAGAAGCTCAATCCAAATTCATGGACTTTGTGCGTGGTAACGGAAAGCCACCCTCAGCGCTCTGGTTCCAACCTGTTTTCCATGGCTTTCATGGTCGATGCGTTCACGCGACTAGGGCCCCTGGGTTTGAGGCGGAAGCGACACGGAAGGCTGGAGTCAACCTATACATGCATCAGGGAAAAAGCTTTCACAGCTCCCCAAAGTAAACTTTGACTCCAGCTCTCAACTTGGCATTCGACCCACCGCTGTCTCGGTGGTCTTGCCTTCTCTTCAAACTCTCCGCTTCAGCAGAGATGCTGAACTCACCAGTGTTCAAAAGTTCGAGCAACGGCTGTGTTGAGCCTTTCACCTTGGTGAGCGGGTCTGCTAACATGGCAGGGTGGTCCACCCACCTGATCTCTCCCTGCAGCTGGCGGAGGTCTTGGCGGATGATCTGAATCTCAATGGCGGTTCTCTTGTCTTGGCCTCCTATGGTTTCTTTGCTGAGGTAGTCGAACAGGCTTTTGGCGTCCACTATGGCGAGGCATTCTTTCAACGTGCCTCCATCATCTCTGGCCATGGCGACCACTTGATCCCTTGATAGGGTTGATGCCCACTCATGCATGCTGAACTTCTCTATTTCGATCTCCTTGAAGAGCACCTTCATCCACAGCAGGTCGCCCAGTCCTCGTGCTAGGCTTTGAGTTTCAGCAGCTAGGGTGGAGTTAACCACGAGCTTTTGGCCTTCGTACAACTTGAAGATGCAAGGGTCGAGGGTGCTTTCTTTGAAACCTAGCTTCTTCAATGCTCCCACCAGGGTCCTCCTCCAATGAAGAGGGGCATCTGCAAGTCCGTAGCATCCGGCCACGATAAGGCAGATTTGGTCGGGATGAAGCCCATCTATTCCTTCAGGTGGTTGACGGAAGTACAGAGCTCCTTTCTCTCTTTTCAGTGGGGCGCTTTGGCAAAATGCACTTTGAAGGTCGCCCACTGCTATGTCCATTCCGAAGTTCACTGCCACCTGGAGCATGACGTTGAGGTTCATTGCGCTGACTGTGGGACTGAAACGTTCCAGTTCCAGAATGTCCGGGTCTTTGTCTCCACGTATACACAGCCTGCTCTTCTTGGACGGTGCTTGTCCAGGCTGTTCAGATGGCTTGTATCTTCTTGCCATTCTTGAGGGGAGGATCCGATTCATCTTTCCTTCTTCAGTGAGCTTCTTTACTACTTCTCTTGATTCCTTCACGTCCAGGACTTGAATGGCCTGACTCATACGAATCTTGTGGAATTCCGAGGAATCGGATACTTTCCATTCTTCAAGGTCTTGTGGACTTTCCTTTTTCAAATCCACTTCCTGGCTTAGGTTTCCTCCTCCTTGTGTCTTCTCCGTGGCCCATACTTGAATCTCTTCTCTCTCTTCCATGTTTTGCAGCGTGAATTCTGTGCTTCCTTTCCACCACATCTCCTTGGTTTCTCTGCCTCCTTTCTTGCTGCGCTGCCAGTTTTCTTCTCTCTCTTCCTCTTCTTCCTCTTTGTCGTTGACGATCTTGGTGGTTCTTTCTCCGAAGCACCGGAGAGGAACTGGAAGATTCTGCATTCCTTGAGGGCTGAACTTGGCTTTTCTTCTGTTCACATGATGTCTTTTGATGCATTGGTTCTTGAGGTCTACTTCCCAGTAATCTTTCTTCGCTCCAATGCTCATCTTCTTCATCTTCTCTCTCCTCGATGTCCACACTTCCTCCTCTTCTTCACTTTCTTCTTCCTGGTGGTCTGCCAGAAACCATTCCTCGAAGTAGGGGTTGATCGGCCCTCGATGCGTCCTCCATCGTAATGGACCTGTCGTGGGAGGAAGTCCATCGAGCGTGCGAGCCCTGTTAATGGACTCGGCCAGACTCCTTTCATACTCTTCTTCTTCTTCCTTTGAACGAACTGGAGCAGGAGGGTCGCCCTTTGTTCTTCCTTCTTGTCCTCCTTCTTCTTCGCTTAACCTTTCCTCCTCGGGTTCTTCTTCCCAGGAGCTGGGTCTTCTGGATCTTGGACTTCTACTTCTGACGGATCCTTCAGGTCCTGTGGGACTCTCTATAGGTTCCGTTGGCTCATATTCCTCTGCTCCCGGCATCTCCTCCTGTTCTTCTGCTTCTAGCCTTCTTCTCTTTAGGGTAGCTTCTTCTTCTTCTTCCTTTGTTGGCTTGACTTCCTTCCGGTCTTCTCCTTCTTCTTCTTCTTCAGGCCACGCTTCTCCTCGAAGGTCTTTGTATCCTTTGCGATTTGATGACCTCTTGAAGTCTTCCATTAGCTCCTTGCAGCTTCTCATGACCTCTTCGATACCTTGTTGCTCCACGTTCGTGGCCTTCCGGCACTGTTCTCGCGCTACCCTCCATAGTTCTCCATACATTGAGACCCATAAGCTGGCCCCATCCACGGCAATGAGAGTGCCTGGTCCGACCCAAGTGGCTTTGTTGGGAGTCCTCTCACTGCTGGGCAGACCTCCTTCGTGCTTTCTTTTCTTTTGTCTTGGCACTCGAAAGACGTACACGTAGTCCCCAGCTTGAAAGTCCTGAGTGGCTCTGGTTCTGCCCTTTGACACTCTTTTGAGGGCCTCCCTGGCATTGTGTTCCACAAAGGCTTTCTGAGCCACTCTTCTCATCTCGTGGACTCTTTCCATGTCATCGACCACTGCACCACTCATCAGTCCTGGGTCTATGACGTCATCGCCCAGCAAACTGCTTGGAACTCGAGGCCACTGACCTATCTGTCTTTGCACCGGAGAAAATCCGCTTCGATTGCTGAACCGGTTCTTTGCCATCTCGACTTCTTGCATGAGGAGCTCCAGTTCTTCCTTGGACGTGATCACTGTCTCCTCTCGGGCCTTCTCCAGAAGCTCCTTGAAGTGCTGCCCGTGTCTTTCTGTACGCCCGTTTTGCCATGGAGCCTTGGCTGCGATGGTCTGAGTGACGACTCCATGAGAGGATGCCATTTGCATCAGCTGAGATGAGAACTCTCTTCCGGCATCCGTGATCAGAACCTCTGGCAATCCAAATGTTCTTCCCCATGTCGACCATAGGGTATTCCAGATAGTCTTTGGCTGCTTGTCAGCTACCCTTTGCGCCATTTGATAGTTGCTTCCCCAATCGACCATAGAGAGAGCGGGGAAGAGCCTTCCACCTCCGACCTCTGGGAGGAAAATGAGGTCAACTCCGAGCACTCGACATGGCTGATAGGTCCTCGGGATGGCAGCAGGTCGGTTAGCCTTTGGTCTTGGCTTGGCTTCACACGACGGGCATTGGAATTCTTTGTAAGCCCATCTGGTGATCTCTCCTTTAATCTCGCAGCTCTCATGAACCTCACGAACTCTCCTCTTTGTGGGTGCCCAAGGCCTTTGTGCAACTTCATGACTGACTTCTTCTCGTCCTCCGTGACGGAGTACCTTGGTTCTTCTTCTCCTCTCATCCTTTTCTTTTCTTCTGCCTCCATCTCCTTGTCTAGAGCCTCTTCGAGTCCAGGTTCTTCTTCCTCCTCGTCGTCCCCAATCTCTCCTGTTAGAACGGAGATGAAGCGTTCACATGAGCCGCCGTCCTTGACCAGCTGGTTTCGGAGTCCTTTGATCACCGCTTTGCAAAAAGCTGGTGGGTATTCTTGTGCCTTAGCTGGCAGCCCACAGACTGTAGGCACATGGAAGTGCCTCTTGTCGCAGGTTTTGCTGAGAGCCTTTTCCATCTCTTCGGAGTTCATCAGCAGAGATGTGGGCTTCTTGTTCAATCCTTTCCCGGATACGTTCATCCCGAACATACACATGTCGGTCCTCACCTTCGTCACTCCATTCATCTCCTCCACTTCTTTGAGGCATTTCTCCTCCCAGGAGAGAGCTGCAGCAGGATGTTCAAAGAGGAAGTATCCTCCTCTTCTGTGTTGCCACTTTAGCAATTCCGCTGCTAGTTCAAGATGTTCCAGCCCTGTGCTCAAAAGAATCCAGGCTTTATCCCACTCCATCTTGGGGTAGTTCAGGGATTGGAGGATGGAGAAGGCACAACACGGAGGGCATACGATCAAAAGGATCGGTGCTTCTTCTTTCAACTGCTTCCACATCGCTCGCTTGTGAGCTGGATCGGACAGATTCCATCCAGTTTTCAGGTCGAAGGAGCCACCTTGCTTGAGACCTTGGCGATGCGCCTCAGCTGCTATCCTTGGGGGTGAGAAAACTTCGCTCACTGTTTGAAGCCCCTTTAGAACGGCCTTTCTTTGCTTGCTAGTGAACTGAACTTCCTTCTCCAGCCCATATTCATCATCGAAGGCAGCTTCTTTGGTGAGCCAAACTTGGATCCTGACCGGCCTCTCTTCTCTCAATGGAATTATGCCTTCTTCTTCCTTCCATTGGTTTTCTTCAGTCAGGACTTGGTGTCGTAGCTCCGACCTGACGTGAGGGATCTGTCCAGACTGAACCTTTCTGAGAGTTCTTCTTGCAGATGTGTTCTTGGCTACAGCCCATGGTTCTTCCAAGCCGCTCGGTTCTCCTTCTTCCCCTTTCAGTCGCTGTCCTGGACGTGGACTGTCTCCGCCGCGGCAAACCTCTTCCTGTCTGTCCTCGGACTTTTGCTCCTCCTCCTCATTTCGCTCTTCTTTCCTTCCTCCGAGTCCACCTGTACAAAGCTCATCTCGGAAGGAGCTTTGACCGGATACTTGATGGTGGGTCCGTATTGGAAGAACTCGCATTGACCCATTCTGCAAGTCCAGAACTGCCTCTCCTCTGGTCGATCCTCGAGCATTCTCCTCAGCTTCACTGCCAAGACTCCGCAGTGACACAGCCTGTCTTCCTCGAACGCCCCTTTCATCTCGGGCGGAAGCTTCTTCTCCTCCTCTTCCTTCTTCATCACTGAGTGGAACATGGCCTGCATCTTCACTTCCTTCTCCCGTAGTTCCACCTTCTGCTGCTGGAGTTCCTTCCACATCGCTTCTTGCTTGGCTTGGTTCTCTTCCTTCTCCGTCGTCAGGTACTTCTGCAGCTCGAGGAGCACCTTCTCGGACTTGGCCGATGAGCTTGATGCCGAAGTGCCGTCCGCCTTCTTCTTCTCCAGCTCCTCCTTCACGGTGGCCATTGGACTTTGGCTCAAGAGGCCCTTCTTGTTCTTCTTCAAGTCCTCCTTGATCTCCGCTGCTGTGAGGGGAGACTCCCATCGGGAGTGACAAATTCGGCAGGTGATGTATGAGGCACTCTTGTTGCCTCCTCCCTTCAATTGAGCTCTTGGGTGCACACAGGAGCTCGCTGCGGTCGAAGGAGCCTCCTTGGACTTCAGAGGCGCAAGAGGCTTCGCCTTGGTGATAATCTCGCTGTAGATAGCCTCCAGTGAATCCTCTTCCTGCTTTGACGACAGAGTAGATGGCCCCGAAAGTGAGAGCGAGGGGAACCATTCTTGCACTAGACTTTGACGCTCGACGAAGGCCAGCAGAATGAAGATCTTGTCCAGGATGACTCGCCAACAGCGAATCGCCATCTTGGGCCTTCGAGCTTGGCTTCTCGCCGGAACCTCCGCTCCAGCGTTCTTCTTGTCTGACTGATCGCCCATCAGCTTGCCCATGCGCCCGATCAAGCCCTCCATGAAGTCGAGCTGAGCAGCGCGGTCTCTCCAAGACGGGGGCAGCAACGAGCGGGAAGCTGTTGGATTGAGCCAACATTGCTTGAGTTTCAAAACTCTTGACAAAGTCTTCTTGAAGAAACGGACAGTTCGGTGGAATCGAAAACCCGGACGGTGCGAAGTGCATGATGTCAATCGTGACGTGACCACTGGGCATCTCGTGCAAGGGCAACTCTATACCTTCCTTTGGCAGGATGAACTTGAACTGAGAAAAATCGATGATTGCTTCCATGCATTTCAACAGTTTGACCGGCAGCAACAAAGGAACTTCCCCTTCGACCACGGTGACCTCTAACAGCCCGTTCAATCCACCAACTCCCACTGGAATCATAGCGACTCCAACGACTTGAGCTTGCCCTCCTATTCCTTTCGCTAAAGACTTCTTGGGGACCCATTTGATAGCCAAACCATGATCGTGTAGTCGTCGCTCGAGTCGATGAAGTGCATGGATTCCAACCAAACCTCCTTCCGCGGCCGTATCGACCACCCCAACCTCAGAACCTGTAGTTATCCCATAAAACTGGGGCTCTGCTGGCGCGGCCTTATACGAGGACTGGTCTTTGGCGCTCTCAGTGAAACAGAGAGCCCTCTTCCTCTCTTCAACAAATTTCTTCAGCCAAAAGATCCTCTTTTCTGGATCGGCCGGTGCTTCTGGAAAATGGCGTGGGTGTTCCGCCGACATGGCGTTCTCACTCACCACAAAGAAACCTGTCTTGGAGTTGGGTGCCGATGAACTTGGGGCGGTGGAGCTGGACGAGCCTTTTCCTTTCTCTGCGCCTTTGCTTGTACACTCTCGGCTGAGGTGTCCAAGCGCTCCACAGCTCCAGCATCTTGTCCTCAATTTGAGCTGCTCTATGTGCACTCGATGTTTTCCCTTGCCTTTGCCTTTTCCCCAATTTCTATCGTTCCCGAAGCCCTTGCCCTTGAAGGAGTCTCTGTTGTAGAAACCTCTGCCGTTCCTTTGGTTCTTCAAGGCGTCTCGAACCTCGCGATAGCTCGCGAGAGCCTCAAGCATCTCCTCCTCGGTGTAGACGCCATCAAGGTCACCTTCAGCCACGAAGATGTACTCCTCGCCATCACCCTCATCATCGTCCGCCTGGAGGTAGTTGTCATCCTCATGGGCGTCCTCAAGGTCCATGATGTAGGTGCTCTTGCCGGAGGTCTTGTCCTTGATTACTTTGTCTAGCTTTCTGAGGGCTTTCACGATGGACAATTTGTCGTACTTGCCATCGCACCAGGTCAGCAGCCGCTGCTCTTGAGCCTCGCTCAATGATGCCTGCCGGTACAAAATGTAGCCGGTGGCGCCTTCTGGAAGGTCGACTCCTTCCTTTGAGAGCCTGGTTCTTCACTCCATCATCGCTTGCGATGTCGTCGAACTCCATCTCATCAACTGCCAGCTGAGCCATGCCCGACAGCGCCCTCAAAAGCTTTGCCCCTTGCTTTCTTTTTGGGATGTCGGTCTCAAAACACCACAGACGAACATTCTTCTCGAATGTTCGAAAAGTCCCCTCCGGGTCCGACCCATCGTACCCAGGTGGCGGGTCTCTGTCCCGCGGCCCCTCTCTCTCTCTCTCTCCTCCTGACCCGCGGCAGCCGCCGCCGATGAGAAGGCTCGTGAGCTCCTCGGTGGCCTGGTCGTCGTTTCGCCTTCCGCCTCAGAAGTCGGCATGGTCCTGGATCGTGGCCGTGGCTCCGCTGCCACTGTGCGTGGTAACGGAAAGCCACCCTCAGCGCTCTGGTTCCAACCTGTTTTCCATGGCTTTCATGGTCGATGCGTTCACGCGACTAGGGCCCCTGGGTTTGAGGCGGAAGCGACACGGAAGGCTGGAGTCAACCTATACATGCATCAGGGAAAAAGCTTTCACAGACTTGAACTTACGGGTTGTCCTGGGAACTCGTATCCTGCATGCGGCTGCGGTCTGCTCTGTACGTGGGTCCCTGTCCCCACTCGATTGCTCAATGCCCATTGTCCAAATAGCCTCCAAAACTCTTCATGATGCTAATGATGCACTACTCGGCGTCCATTGCATCACTCACCCTCGCTTTGGAGCGCTCTCCCCCACCAAGCTCCGGGTTCACCCTCTCAATGTCCCTCTCAGCACCCTCCCCCCACACTCCCTTAACTCACTTCGTTCGCTCTAAAAGCTCAAGCCTAGCCTATCGGCTGGCTTTCGTAATGAGATTATATGAGCTAGAGATATTTAGAAGAGACGTTCTCAGCCTGCTCTCAATTTGCACGCCATGCTGCAAAGATTGGCAGCTTGAAGTTCCCGAGCATGTCTGAAGGAGGAGGTTGGTAGACTTGCCTGCCAGTCACACCCAGTCACACCCAGTCACCCGGAACATGCAGCCTGGCTCCAGTCGTAACTTAATATCAACACGCAGCGGCCGGGCATCCACACATCATGAGTTCAAAGACCTCGATCTCCATGCCATCCTGGAAACAATATCACAAGCTGAAACCACCAAGCAGGATGCCCTCAAGCAACATCCAACCCTCCACATCCTTTGTTTTCTGCGTTCTGTCCTCGGACAAAGTTACAAGGAGATCACCTGGATGGTCAGGATTGACAGATTGCCTTCTTGACCCTTGAAAAGGCTTCAAAGCTTCAAGAGCCTGCCTTCTTGGTACCTCCTCTGCACTGCCTGGTAACCAATCACTCTTGGTCAACGCACAAACGGCAGTTCCAAATCAAGCTGATGAACAAGGCTTACCTTTTCAACTGTGCGGCGACTGTGCGTGCATGACACACACCTACAATAAGTGAAACAGCCTGGCTGGTGGCAACCCAGCAGAAACCTGGAATCATTTCCTGAACGTAACATGTTTCACTTGTGTTTCGCGCAAGAGGTGTTCACCAGTCTCAGGCACGAAAACTGAGCGTCAAGAGAGCTCAATCACTTCGCCAACGATAGGAGTTTTTTCTTTGTCGCCAGCGAGAATTGCGGCCTCAAAGGCGGTAGGAGGAAGCATATTGATAGATTCATGTGATAGATTGATGTAAATCATGCCGACTTTACAACTCCCGGACTCCCTATGTGACATTTGATGCATCAGGCTTGCCTTTTTGCAAAATGAATGTGCACCAGGAGTCACAAAGGGGTGCCTATTGGAGGTTTAGGGGTGCCCATTATCCACTCACTTAGGGACCAAACACCACCCCTTTGTGACCCCTGGCAGAGTCATTTTGTCAACCTATCCTTTCAAACATTTCGTGACCGAAATGACTTTTGTATGTAGAGTGACTCTGCTGGAGAAATGAACTATATGCGGTTGTGGTGCTGTCTGCTCCAATTTAATGCCGAGTTCCTCAGCAGGACACACATAAGTTAAGCCGTTAAGCTAAACAAGCCACATTGCATCAAACCCTCAGGTTAGCGAACATTTCCGGGCAAGACGCATCGCTGAAGTCAGCCACGTACATCACAAATTCCACTATGTTCAAGTTGCCTCATGGAGGGTGAACATCGGTCGCAGCCTCTGAAAGTCGTCGACTCTTATGAAGAGTGTGTATCTGTGTATGCACCGTAATTGTGCTCAAGAATCGGTTATTGAACGGTTATTAGCAGGCCTTTTGTGTGCAGTAGGGGCAAGAAGCCTAAAGCGGGAATCATGAAGAGATCTAGTGTTGTTTCCCCAAATCTCTTTCAAGTAAGAGAGGCTGGCTGGGAGGCAACACTCTGTCTGCGCCAAGCAGCCGCTCCGATCGAAGTCAATGCCACTCATGAGCTCGTCGAGCTGCTGATCATTGAAATTGGGATCCAGCCTCCCAGAACTCGACTGAGTGAGTAAAAGAGTTGATCAACGTTAACTCCCACAACGACAGGCAAAAAGACGATGGGAGGCATGAAAGAGGTGGAAGATGGTTCAATCACGTGTAAACCATAGCTCGGCCCAAAAACATCTCTTCCAGCCCGCCTTGTGAGCACAGCTTTCAATTCAGCACGGGATATCAAGCCATTGGAATCCGTATCAAACTGTCCGAAGGTGGAAATGACTTTGGACAAGGGCGCAAACTCTGTGTAGCTGACTTTGCCGTTGCTATCCTAAGCGCTGGCTCGCAGATGAGATGAAAATAGCAGTTCGGCAGTTCTTCAACTGTTCGGCAGTTCGTCCCTGAGGCCCGTGCTGTGTCAAAGACCTAGGAGGGAATCAGAGGGGAGGAGGCGGCATAGGAACATTGAGGGAAAGCTGCTTGTTGGAAACATGCGCGTTGAATCTCTGCTGCCATGACCTACCATTTAAAATTCAAAAGCATTCAAAAGCTATACTAGCGATGACCACTGTAAAGCATGGCAAAGGACTTGCCTTGACCCTGCCAAGAAGCCATCATCAGCTCATCAATGTTGACGCCCGGAAAGCAGCTCCGCAGTGCCTCTGCCAATTCATCTTTTGAGACCTGCGAAGCTGCAAGCTACTACCCCGGATGGTTGAAAAAGCCACAAACAGAATCAAACAGGTGTGTGGGTGTGAGATGGTGTGAGGTGACGCTGGATCGCCACTGGATCGCCTGGATCAAACAGGGCCTTCCTGACTTTCTGGGCCACTTGAAATCCGAAGCCCCAAAGCCCCATGGGGCTTTGTCACCTTGCCTCTCCACTACCGTCCTTGTCCAACTTCCGAAACTCTTGCATCCTGGGCAGTCAAGGTACGGTCCAGGAAGCGCTGTCATAAAGTTGTGGTGAATGCAGCCATTGACATGCGTGACGCCATTGACCATTGACTGATGCAAGCAAAAAACAAGCAAAGTATGCGCAAGAGTAATCATACAGGTGTGATTGTCTCACGGAAAATCACCCTTGCAGCTGATGTTGAGGTCTTTTCATGTCTTTTCAGGTGTTTTCAGATGCTTTTTATAGTGACAAAGTCACAGAATCCGGAGCTTGGAGTCCGCCAAGGGCGGCAAGACCTTCCTGGCACAGGCTAGGCTGGCTAGGCGTGTACTGTTTTACTGTAAGCCTTCTGTGTCCACTGTCTGGCTCCTTTCCCAAAAGGTTACCATCAAGTCTGCCATCACACATGTATCAATTGATCCAAATTCCTGCTCATGGAATGAATGGTCACAAAACACAAACTTTACTCTCGCGAATCTTTCGTGAACTCCATGTTTAACTTTCGCGGTGAATTGACCCCATTCTCTCTCTGGCTCAACGTTCGTGTTCCTGTCGATGCGTGGACTAAGATCGGCTACAGCAAGTCCCCGATTTGGGAATCAACCCTATCAACATGTGGGCAAAGGTCTTTCAAGGGCTGTCACATTCCCCGAGGCAGACGTGAAAACTTTAGCCAAACTGGGATGCATGTCAGCACCTTTTCAACGCCCAAGACTATGTGACAACAATGTTTGACCTTCCGCAAAAATGCATCTCTACTTTGCGGACTCGAAAACGCTCTTGCCAACAACATAAAAATTGGATAAAAAAGGTCTCGATCATTATATAGGGCTACGCGCCACGTCCTCTTGGTCGAGAGCTCGTCAAGTCTGTGGAGGACATCGGGTTTCCGCGATTCCGCCGCCAATTTCTCGACTTTGGCCTCCTGACCTCAAAGCAAAGTCTGGGAACCGGCGAGCCTCCGGCGACCTGTGGCTACCCAATGGTGCTCTTGTTAAAGCATCCCGTCTTATGCCAAGGCACCAGGCAGTGGCTCCAGTTTCGGGGCCATTGCACAGAGCTTGGGTTGCTGGGAAGCTGAGACCCCAAATGGCAAATAAACAAGGCAAGGATTGCCGATCGTGCGATGTTCGGACAGTCGTTTGCCATCTGCGACCATGTATGCAGGCTGCGGACATGTCATGAGCGGCAACCAAGACGTGCATCAACAAGCCACGTCGGCACCCAGTCGCGCAGCGGGCGGCTGCTTCTCTTCCATGAGATGGGGGAGACATCTCTGGCCTTAGTGCATAGGGGAGGACGAAACACGACCCCCCAAAAAAACAACAAATCGATGGATTCAATGGATCCTCCGATCTTTGGTACTTCACATCTGGACCCTTTGCGTCGTTGGCGCATAAGCTTTGGGCAGGATCATCCCAGCCTCGACCGGACGCACGCGTGTTTGCCAATATAAAAAACTCATCCCATCAAGACATCTCAATCGATCAGTCAAGTCTACATGTCTTAAACAACAAAAGCGGTTGGTGGATGCTGAGTGCTGTCAAATGCTCTTGGACATTTGAGGTCAGCTTCAGCTAAGACAAGACCAGTGCCTTTTCCGACGTGGGTCATGTTCAAAACAGTGACCTCAAAGCGATTGAGTCTTCTCCACAAACCATACAGGCACGAAGTCAAGCAAAGCTCTACATCTTTGTCATGGTTCAACCACCTACAGTACACGTTTTCCATCCGACCTCAGATCTGGAGTGTCGGGACTTCTCCACAGCCAGGAGGAAGCCGCGGATCTTGGAATATACAAATCTTTCGGAAATCCGTTTGTCGGGGTGTTCGATTCATCTGAAATTTTACCAAAAATTGCACCACATTGCATTGCTTCCAGGCACCAATCGAAGCATAATTAATGTGTGGTGTGGTGGGTGCACTCCTAAGGCATAAGCAGATGAGAGAGAAAGCGGCGCTCGGGTCGTTCCGACTGGGAAGCGGTGCTCAACCTGTTGCAGCAACTGGGAAAGCAAAGCCGTGAATTTCACGGCGCATTTACGCACCTTGCAGTCCCGCTTCTCACGCACAGAGAAGACCCAAATGGTTCCCTCCACATCCGCCGCGAGAACTCTCGACCTTTGATAGGCAGCCTAAACATGCCTAAACCACAGCTTCCTGGAAATCTCATGCTTCATGGCAAATCTGAGCTTGTGGCTGCGATGCAGTGTCAGTGACAGCATCCAATAGTCCAGGACCCTGGTACCTGGTGTCGGAGGTGCCACCGGTGTGGTATACGGTCCGGTGGTCGGGCTCTCCTTGGACGAAGCCGGGGCACTTGTAGCAAGAGAAGGCACGAGCCTGGCACTACAACTCAGCTAGCGGAAGAGCACGCGAACGATTTGAATGCAGCAAGGCCAAGCACATGCAAAGCATGTCCCAATCGTGTCAAGAGGGGCTGTACCCTTCTCCAAGTCCAGGAGCCCCCACCTCGCTTCAAGCGTGTACCCATGAGTTTTCGGCCCAACGTTCATTGCTAAGGCTCGTGCTGATTACCTGAGACATACACCACATTGCCCAAATGCGCATTGATTCGCTTCACCTGAAGGGACGTCTAAAGTGCAGGGGGCGAACCTTGGACCGTCCGCGTGCCTCTCCGTTTTGCATTCTAAATCTGAGGCCACCACAGGCTCGCTGCTCACGCGGAACCTTTCGATCTACTGACGCTGCACAAAAACATGGAATGAATGCGTTGCCATGGATGTGCATCTCTTGGCTTTTTGGCTCCGCTGGCGAATTGCTTAAGCTACTTGAGCCCTTGTGAATCTTATGATGCTGTAAGTGGGGCTTCGACTTCGACTGCTCAAGTCAAGTTCTTCTGGCAGGCATACTTATCACGGAGCCCTGTTCTACCAGCGAGGGCCAATGTCTCAAAAGCCCTCGAGAGCAGATCTGTTTGGTAACGCGTCAATGCTGTTGGAGTTCTGTACCTTAAAGGGCGGCCAGGAACTTCGGATTTCCCGTCCCGCTATATCACAAATTGAGCCCTCTCACCGTCATCATGATCATCATAATGCATCATGCATCCTGCATCATCATAATCATTAAATATATGTATTTAAATAAATAAATATATACCCTACGCAACAAAACCCTGAAAATTTGTAGGGTCTCAATCGGAACCTCGGGTATTCTTGTGAAATCAAAAATACCTCAGGTTTGTTCTTAAAACCTCGGGTCTTGCTTTTCTAAACCGTGCTAAACCCATATTTAACCCGTACTAAACCCATATTTAACCCGTACATACCCGTACTAAACCCGTATTTTAATATTGGTTTGGAAAACCTGGGGGTTCCTTCAGAAACCCTAGGTGTTTCCATCGACCCTACAAATTTATAGGGTTTGGGTGCGTAGGGTATATATATACATAATCATCACCATCCTCCTCATCATCATCAGCAGCAGCAGCATCACCATCACCATTGCAATCACTCCTGTCCCATCCCATCCCAGCCCATCCCATACCACCATACCACCACCAACACTCATCATCATGAATGGTAATACTCCTGGCAATAGATTGCAACTTCAGACAGTCCCAAAACTTTGCCATGTGCGGCATTTGTGCTGCCCAAGCAATCCAGTCGTCAAGGCCACCCTCCAAACGCCAAAAGCGGTCGGAGCTCATCCCAAAAACATCCTCAGGTCCCAATGCTGCCCTCAAGAGTACGGGCCTCATGTGGTCTTGAAATCCGCTGTATATTCTATATATATATATATCTTTATGTTTGTGTTTGTTTGAAATGACTTTTGCTCATCTATTGCCATTGCTTGCTTTAAGAGTGCCCAAGTCTGGTTGTGATCCTGTACCATTCACTCAAGCCCCGATGCGGAGGCCTGCCTTCCACACCATCTCCAGCGCATGTGGGATTCTGCAAAAGCCCGACTAAGGACCAGGCGATCAGAAGAGCAGCGCACATGCCTTGGTCTGAGTGAAAAAGACGATTTGCAATGCCAAAGCACAAAGTGCGCCGCAAAATGCCAAGACGCCACAGTTTCCAGTGGTACCCCCATGTGTTGAGAAGGTGACTACCTGTGGAGCCATAATGCATGTTGCGAGATGAGCTTCGTCAATGAAAACAGTTGCTAAAATCAAAAAGACTCTTAAAACGTCGTAGAAAGATATGTAATATGTACGGCACATATGCACGGCGCAAAGAAACACATATGTGCAGTTCTCCATTTGTGTGCAAGGGATGGCCGACAACCCTATACCTGTTTTTGGGGCTGTCCCCACGTTGAAGGCTCCAACCCGAAATGATTCCAAGGAATGCATTCACCTGACAAGGTGCCTGGCACGAGCTCTCAGTAAGCCTCACCAAGTGTCTGGACAAAGAATCTGGTGCAGCACGCAGGTCCCCGAAGCTGATGGGAATCGCCCCAGGTACCAGCGGAGTCCTGACGCTTTGGTGGGTGCCAGGTGCCATGGCACCAGTGAGTGGTTCACGCATGTTCACCCCCCCAAAAAAGGACTGAGACTTGAGACAGGGAAACACGAAGGTAGCCAGTCACCAGGAATATATGAAAGCCGCAGTATCTAAACGCAACAGGGCTGCGTAACAGCTGTGGTGTGTGCAACTGCCTGGTGCCAAAACTGTGCTGCGCAAATGCGGCCGTATGTCACGTGCACGCTACGCAAAAGAGTGGCCGGGGTCGCAAGGAGAGGTTGCTAAAGCATGTGGTGTGGTGCAAGAAAGGACTTATGTCAACCCTGTGCTGCCTGAGATATGTCCAATCCGTGGTGTCTAGAGTCTAAATACAAGGCTCTGTGGCAGCTGTGAACTGCCTCTGTGCCGTGCAAATGCGGTCATATTGATGTCACATTGACATGCGCGCTCCACATGAGAGTGGCCTGGGTCACGAGGAGAGGTTGCTACAGCATGCGGTGTGGTGAGGTTTGTCAAGATGGCTTTGCGTAGAGGCTGTGTTGCGTCAACGCTCGTTTGTGTAAAGCTATATGGTGTGTGTGAACGCATGTGTAAGAGCTGCATGTAAGGACCACAGATGTGCATGCATTGCTGCCAGTGAATAGACGTCATGCTATGGTGGGCGATGCTAGTGGTGCTGGCGAGGGGTGGCGGGGTCACCAAATGATTGATTATAATCAATCATAAATCACTATGGAAAGGGGGGGGGCTGTCATAGACAAAGAATTATATATAGAAGATTTATGTTTGGTCCCGAGCAGGCTGTTCAAGCTACCCATTTGTTTTGCAAAGCCAACTCAAGGTAGCCCTTACCAGGCTACCTTTCATGAAAAGGCGTGTGATTATGTTTGGTTTTGTCTCCACGTGCTCCTGCGTTCGTACTGGGCCTCGATGCGCTCACGGCAGTCCAGCACCACAGCCGTTCCATGTTTCAGCCATTCAGCCAGCTGCTCGGCACCCACCTCCGGGATATCATCGGGCACAGAAGGCACCTGGGAAGCAGATCGACGCGCGGAGCCTGGTAATGCGCGCGGTGCCACAAAACAGCATGACACTCCCAGAGATAAGACTAGGATGTAGATATGGAAAACGGGTTTGGATCAAATATGCGAACACGCTGCTTCAACAATTCAACACACATTATCAAAAACACACAATGCCAGTGGGTGTCTCATGATGTCTCTCAGCATGAAGAACCTTTTGCACCCGCCTCCCCCAAGTCATAGTCATGCTCCCACTGATCTACAGCAGTCCGGACGCGAACCTGACATTTGGCATTTCGGACACTCGTCTCGTCTTTGCAACGAATTTCTGGAGGTTCCTCCAAATTGCCGAACATGTTTGGAGTTTTATCCAAAAACAAATTAACTTTGACGTTGACCGGTACAAATTGACAATAGCCGCTCGATAGCCACCACCTGGCCTTTGCCGCGGCCGGATGCAAGGGCCACTGTCGCTCCTGCACATCCTCTGCAAAATGCCCTGGTTGCGCTTTGAGAGCCAGCTCTTCCGCGCGCTTTACCGCAATCAGGCCATCCTGAACAAAAAGTGTTTCGTGATTATTTCGCTAATTAAGGTGACATGTGACTGAGAGCCAGCCCAGCCCGGATTTGAAAAAAGAACATGTTCCCTCTCCATCCTCGTAAGCACGCTGAACAAGCTTGAAGATCTCACCATCTGTTCCACCCTTGTCAGGGTGATGCAAAAGGGCCAGTTCTCTATAGGCTTTCTTCAGCTCCGCAGCATCAATCTTCTTTACTCCCAATGTCTCCTGCCAGCCCTTCGCGGCCAAAATCCGGTGCGCTCCCGAAACCTCCGGTCGTTCCGGTGGTGCGTCCGGAGGAGGCTTGAAATGCCCGGGTGGTGATTTTGATGGAATCTGTTGGATCTGCGGCTCAACCGAGGGCCATGGCCAAGGGCCTGGGCACTTGGCTTCGAGTTCGTCCAGTTCATCGAAGTCCCAATTGGTCATGGCATCTGCCCAGCCACCATCAGCAAGAAAAATTATACCCAGCACATCGCATGAACTGCATGAGCATAGCTTTGTCGCCTAGTCTTCTGTAGGGTAAACTGCAAGAAAGGAATCGAGGCTGTTGCAAGAACTGTTTAAAGAAAACCCTCCGATGATGAATGATGGTGAATGGCAATGAAGTGAGCAAGTAGCTGTTGAGGCCTTTCTGACACACCAGCGTCTACAGCATCTGGGCAAAAAGCCCCCTTGAGAAAATGTCAGCGCAAGCGGCATGAGAGCGGCCGTCGTCCGATGCTGCCATGAAGAGTCTGGAACACACGGTGCCTCTCATGAAGTGTCCCGTTGCGCGTCAAGACCTGGCTATGCCGCTATGCCGGTTTGGTCGCTGCACACAGGGTGTTGGCTTCACCAATAGCTCGGACTCAAGCCGATATCCAGCCAACCTGAGAAAAAGAGATTCAAAAAGCAATCTGCCCAGGGATGATGACCTCCTTCGGACGCGTTTTTTCTTCGAGAAGCTGAATCCCCTGTAAGGAAGTACTTGACTCCTTGCACCGCTGTCATCACAAAAGCCTTGGCGAAGTCAACGAGGTTTCAACAAAGTCGAGGCCTAAACCTTCTTCGGCTTCAGGCGGTCAGTGTGGGAGAGGAGTTCGAGATGTTGTCGACTGCAAGCGGTATCCGCGTGGCCTCAAAGACTTGGCCCGAGTGGGAAGATATCTGAACTGGTTTGATCATTACCATGGACTTGTCTATACTCTTGTATAGTTCCCCTCAGGGCGTCACCAGGTGAAATTGTGCCGTGATGTTGGCAGGCGAACCCAGGTGGTTCGAAACCCTGGCACACAAACTGCATATTTTCAAAAATATTTACTGGTGCCACAGAATAACTTTAAAGTATTCTAAAGTAGCGTCAGGAAAGAAGGCTCCCAAAGGTTTGGTGTTTCAAAGTTTCGATCTTCAAATCTTTGCTTTTTGTGACTGCGTGCCCAGCTATCTTGTCTGTTCAATGCTCTGTTCTGATGCTTCTGCATGCAGGGCATGGCTCGGCTATGCCGTCTTCGCCCAAAGCCTAAGAACACTAGAACATCACCTTTCAGGGATGCACGGAATGAATTCATCTTTTGCTGCCAGCAGTGAATTGACCAAACACATGCCATCTGCAGCACTGCAAGTCGCAGCGCCTGCTGCCCGCTGGGGACAGCTGGGCATGGTCGGCGCGATTCGCTGCTGGCCCAGCACGTGAGCTGAACAATCAACACCCGACACCCGACAAGTAGTATGTAGAAGGGCTTCAACGATCAAGATCACCAAAAGCTTGCTTCTGCCGTTGCACTTGGCTATTGCTTCACATGCCAGCGAATGCACTGGGCGTACTTCCCACTGACCATCACCCTGCTTTGAGCATTCGGTCAAAAATGGAAGTTGAAAAGCCCGGACGACATAAGCACTCCATCGCTTTCAGCAATGTCCAGGAGTTTGCCCAAAACTGTTTGCGGAGTTTCTTCGCTCTGACATTAAAAGAAGCCCATGCTTGTAGTCTGCTCCTCGGACGACACAAACATGAATGGACAGAAAAATAGGTGGCGGTAACTCGACGCCCCTCTGCAGCTAAAGTGAGCCAAGTGTCTCTCACCTTCCGGGCCCTGGGGGAGTTTGCAGGCAGGTTCCGGTACCTGGCTCAATTCTTTGGGCCTAACTCAATCAAACAAAGGTTCTATGGAAGCATGCTTCAGCTGAGCTTGCTGCTGGTACATGCTAGGCTGATTCCTGAGATGCAAAGCTTCGTGGTTTTCGTGTGACAAATTCACGAAGTCCGTACCCAGTCAAAGCAAAATGAATCTCATGCAATGATTCACTAGGAGCCGAGGATCATGAGAGCACGATTGCTTGCAAGAGGTGCTTCGATGACTGTGCTACGTGGTGACCGTGGCGACACCCTTGGCAGTGCATGAAGGATTACTGGCACCACGGACCAAACAAACAAGACATTCCCTTCTGCAAAGGAAATCATGAGCACCCTCCGCCCAAACCAAACAAAAAACATGCAAAATCACACTGAGCCCCATGAGAATGAGCTCCCTAAAGGATCTGCGATTCAGTTCCTCGTGTAAGTCACCCCATTGAGCTCCGCACCAGCCGGGAGCAATGGCTTTGTCTTCGTGCTTCTCGCGCAGATCGCCGATTCCCTCGCGCATCTGACCAGAGGCCAAATGCACCTAAGCAGCCCGAGTCCAAGTGACAGTTTGTATCGGGTACTCTAACTCGTGTAAAATGCATTGAATCCCTTTGATATCAAATTTGTCATAGTCACGTGTATGTATGTATGTATGTATGTATGTTTTTTTCCTAAAGAGGTTCTTTTGCTTCTGCAGATCTCTGGGCCCTTTTGGCCGTCTAGCAGCGCCGCTAGAAGTAGTCCACGTCAAAGACCATATCATCGTCTGTGTGGCTTTCTTCTTCGGGGTTCTCCGGTGTGCCTGCTTTGGAGCGCTGAGTTGGCTCTGGCTTTAGCTGTACTGCTGTTCGTAGAAGGTGCTTGTCTCCGGCATTCTGGCTGGGTGTCATGGCCTGTGCCGGGTCCTCTGCGTCTTCTCTGGCCGTGAGAGGCGTTGAGAAGTGTAGCCTTTTCGGCCTGGGTCCTGTGGTGGACAGTGGTGTTGCCAGCTCTGGTTGAGATTCAGCCTTCACCCCTTCAGCAGGAGTGGGAGGGGTGGGCCTGGAGGAGATTGCGGATGATCTGGACTCTGGTGAGCTTCTTGGTAGGCTGAGGTGCCTCCGGTCCTGGAGTGGGACAGGCCTGGTCGGCTTGCTGTTGTGTGCAGGTTTCTGCCAGCCGTTCTTCTAGCTGTTGTGCTGTCAAGCCCTGATGCATGCGTGTACCACATGTAGTGCATGCATATCCACTTCGTTGTGGAACCCAGCGGTGATGCGGCTCCTGCCATGTATGTATGTATGTATGTATGTATGTATGTATGTATGTATGTATG